AGAGAGACAGAGGGTGAGAGTGAGAGAGAGAGGAAGTGAGAAAGCAAGCCACCAGGTCCAGGACTTGAACCCCGGTCGGCCATGTGGGAGTGTCCAGCGCCTTAACCACCACGCCACCTGCTTGTCCCAATCTGACCAGTTTTAAGAATGATCTCTTGGCACTTCATCTTCATTGTCTCCTAGAGCTCACCCTGGTGGAGTTTTACGGATTGGGAGGTGGGGAGGTGGGGCAGAAAAATGATATGCCTTGTCACAGACATTTCTGGGATCAGCAGAATTTTCTTTTTTCTTTTTGACTAGGAAAGGTTGACTGGGTGATATTAAGACACCAGGTTCTTCAAATTTTAGGGACCAAAGATAGGATTTTCTGATCCTAAAACTCTCTTGTCTTCTCTCCCTGGCCATTCTGGTTCTCAGGTTTTTTCCTCATTTTATCCCCAGGTTCCCAAGGGCCTTCTCACGAGTCCACAAGCAACGGCAGACACAGTGCCTCATCACCCCAAGCCCCTGACCCTGAGGGGCTGGCCAGACCCGTCTCTCCCGACAGCCCAGAGATCATCAGCGAGCTCCAGCAGTACGCAGATGTGGCCGCTGCCCGGGAATCTCGCCAGAGCTCCCCAAGCACCAACGCCACCCTGCCTGGCCCCCCAGCCCAGCTTGTGGACAGCAGTGCTATTCCTGGGACAGCTCTTGGGACTGAGCCTCGACTCGGGGGTCATTGCCTCAACAGTTCCCTCTTGGTGACTGGCCAGCCCTGTGGTGACAGGTACCCAGTGCTGGACTTAAGGGGCCACAAGCGCAAGCTGGCCACACCACCTGCTGCCCAGGAGTCAGCCCGCCGGCGGTCTAGGAAGGGCCATCTGCCAGCCCCCGTGCAGTCATACGAACACGGGTATCCGGCGTCTGGCGGGTTTGCCATGCCACCCGTCTCCTTAAACCATAACCTCACCGCTCCCTTCACCTCGCAGGCTGGGGAGAACTCCCTGTTTATGGGCAGTACCCCCTCCTACTACCAGCTGTCCAATTTGCTGGCAGATGCCCGCCTGGTGTTTCCAGTGACTACTGACCCTCTGGTGCCAGCAGGCCCCGTCAGTACCTCTTCCACGGCTACCTCAGTCACTGCCAGCAACCCCTCCTTCATGCTCAACCCCTCTGTGCCAGGGATACTACCCAGCTACTCACTCCCCTTCTCACAGCCACTCCTGTCCGAGCCCAGGATGTTCGCGCCGTTCCCTTCCCCTGTCTTGCCCAGCAACCTCTCGCGGGGCATGTCTGTCTACCCAGGCTACATGTCACCACACGCAGGCTACCCAGCGGGCGGCCTTCTCCGGTCCCAGGTGCCTCCATTCGACTCTCACGAGGTGGCCGAGGTGGGGTTCAGCTCCAACGATGATGAGGATAAGGACGATGACGTGATCGAGGTCACTGGGAAATAGCTGGGGAGCCCCTCCCCACCTCATCTGGGGCCCCCAGCAGGTTGCCCACCAAGCTGGAAGGCAGTGATCTGGGCTTTCTCAGAAGAGGGCATGTGGCAAGGGGGAAAGAAGGGCACTGAGGGCGGTTGGCCACAGTGGCAGGGCTCTGTTGCTGTTTAAAAAAGAGGAAAAAAAAAAAAAAAAATCCAACAGAGCAGCAATAGTGGGAAACCAGGGACCCAGAACCGGGGATGGCGGGGTGGGACGGCCCGCCTCTCCCTCTGCCCGCCTTGCTTGCTCGCCCATCTGAGTGTAGACGCTCACATCCTGTTTCTGTCTGGGAATACTCTCTCCCAAGAGAGCTGCCTTACAGGGTGACTTGGCCTGGGGAGGGCAGGGTAGGGGAGGGCGGGAGAGGGCCTGAGGAGGAGGGTGGGCAGGGGGAGCAGACTGAGATCCCATGTTACATGGGTCTTCTAGGGGGTGGGAAGGAAGCAGACCAGGTATGTGTGTGTGAGAGCGTGTGTGCGCGCATATTTCTGTATGTGTGTATGTGTTTGCAACAGAGCAGGGGTGAAGGAGGGAGGGGAGGGAGGAGAGGGAGGAACTAAGGGAGAAACTGAAACACGAGCTTATCTTTTTTTAAGTGAATCAGTGTGGCGGTTCATGGCAACTGTGTGTGTGAACATCAGGGTGTGCCCAGGAGAAGAGCCATGGAAATCCCAAGTTTCCTTCTGGTTGGGTGAAAAGAAGACCCAGCTAACTCGAGGCCCTGGTTTCCAGAGCCACGTCGGTTTTAGATTTGGGGGGAAATCATGATGGAAAATGGGCATTACTGATCCTGTCTCATTCCCCAGCGGCTGAGGCTGAGCCTGAGCGGAACTCCCTTTCGAGGGTGGGAGGTTGTCTGTGCGGAGGCTGGAGGGAGCTGTAGCACGTGGCATGTGAGTGTGAGGTCAGGGAGCTCTGGCCAGAAAAGACATCCTTCCCCGGGTAGGCCTGAGCCCACGCTGCCTGCTGGTAGCTTTCCTGTTCCCTCCCTGCCCCACTAGAGAGCTAGCTCCACATTAGTTTATTTCCTATGGGCAATTATTTATTACTGGACTTCTCGTGTGTCTTCATTTTTGTTTGTTTGTTTGCTTTTCAGGGGAGGGGAGGTTAGGGGTAAGGAGGGTAAGAGTTAGAAAGGGAAGCTTTAAGGTAGCCCAGACCCTGTAGCTGCTGGTGAGAAAAGTCCTAGCTGGATGGTGAGGTGAGCGGGGAGAGCAGGCTCCACCAAGGCTTAGATGAAACCACTGTTTGTGGGCGATGGCCTCTCGGGAAGACTGGGGAATCCTGAGACTGGGCAGTTAATGGGGCTGAGGCTCATCCAGCAAATACTGAAGCTTGGGATTGTGGGGTTTGCTACTGGGAAATAAAGAACTCCAGATTTGGAGCCGTGTTCTCTTGGGTGACTGTAGAAACCTGCTCTCTCTACTGCAGAGTGAAGCTAAGAACAGGCGGCTGCCAAGTAGAGGGGATAAACCATTGCTTTTCTATGAGGAAATGCCTTGACTTCCCCCAGCCTCTCAGGTGGTAGGCGTGGGCCTGAGGTCTGCTGCCCTCACCTTCAAAGGAGCATAGTGGAAGGAACCCTTCCTTTGTAGGAGCCCCGAGTCAAGCTTTTGTCTTAAGAGAACATGTCAGTCATTCTGGGTCTCCCCTCTCTTATCACCAGTGCCAGGGAGGGGTATCTGGTCCTTAAGCAGAACACTGGCTGTCATCCTGTTGGCTCATGCCTGCCCACCCCAGTGAGTCTGCCATGCAGTTCCTTATAATGATCAAGGCTGGTCTGGCTTTACAGCCTTGCCACCTCCTGTGGCTTCCTCCCAGCTAGGCAATTGCTGCACCTGCCTCTTCCCAGCCCGGGGGGCAGCTTAGCGAGTCCTAGCAGCAGCTCCTGCAGCTCTCCTGACCAACCCCTTCCCAATGCCAGCGGGCCTTAGACTCTGGGGTATTGTCCCCAGAGAAGAGATGATGGCTGATTGTGTGTGTGTGTGTGTGTGTGTGTGTGTGTGTGTTTATATGTTGTCCATTAACACCAAAAGTGGAACTTAAGGAGCTTGCTTTCTGTTTTCATAGACACCCTGTCAGACACTAAACTCTTCTACTCATAGAAGCCTTAGATCTACAATTTAGCTATGCAAATTACTTTAATAATTTAAAAAGAGCCGTTCCAACCAGTGCTTTCTCTTTCAGACGCATCCCCAGAATGGTTGGCGAGGGGGCTCAGTTGGAGTGGGCTCCCTGGTTGAGGCCGGTGCAGTAGGAGTGAGCTAGACCAGATCTCTAGTTTGCAGACACACTCAGAACCTGGGTTATGCTGATCCCTCAGGCCGTGGAGCAGTGGAGTCCCAGATGTGTGCGCCCGTGAGTGTGTGTGCATGCACGCGTGTGTGTGGTCGGGAAATTCTTCTAGGAAATCACTAACAGGCTCTGAGAATCCAGAAACCATCCCAGCTGGGCGCTGGTGAAACCAGTCACTGGGAAGGGACAGGCTTTTAAAGCGCCAGGAAGGAGGTGGGCATTCTGAGAGGCAGCACACGTCTGCTCTCCACCTAGTGGTTCGGGTGGCTGGGTCTTGCTTCAGCGTGGCACAGGCCATCATTCAGGAGGCTGACCTGGCTGGAGAAGGTGTGCTCTGAAATGTGTGGCTTCTCTTGTGTAGAAGGGTTGGAGTGGGAACATGGGAAATTGGAGTGCTGCCAGTTTCCATGTTTTTGTTTTTGTTTTTGTTTTTAATGAACTGAAACATTTCTGACTTTTCTGCTGTCTCTCTACGTGTGCTGGTAGGCAGTGTGTATGCATGCCAAACGTGAGTACGTGTGTGAGGGGAGCGCGGGTGTCTCAGAGCCTTTAACTAGAGACGCTGGGTGCAGGCTTCTACCCGCTGTCCAGGCCTGGGTGAGGGGAGGGTGGTGAGAGGGCAGGGCAGATCATCAGGTATTTCCTCCTCTGTACTGTTAACCTTTCACGGAATGTTTTTGAGGGCTTCTCAAGCCCTGACCGCCTGGTCTGACCTAAGTTCTCAGCCTGGGGCGCTCAGTACTACTAAGATGAGTCAGGATGATCACTCGTAGTGATGCTTGATTTCTTTTTCTTAATGTCTTTGTGGATAGAAATTTAACCAGGACAAAGCTGTTTAAAAACCATGTTGGGTCAGATCTTTTTCTTCAGATTGGATCTCTGCGAGGTCCTTACCCCTTCGAGTTGTGCTTCTTCAGCATCTATTTATCTCCTGACTAAGCAGAACTCTGGCCCTTGGAACTTTCTTTCCTAGGAATTCGTTTGTGGGGTCTAAGTATGTTTGTGATCCACAACTAAATATGAAGTTTTCCGCTCCAGGAGCATGAAGCAAAGAGCTGGGGTAGAGTTTTGCTGATTGGCTGAAACAACCTGAACATCAGCAGTGCGTGGTCCTATCATTCCCGAAGCTGTCAGCAACAGGACTGTCATTCTGCTGAAGGCTGGCATTGCTCTGCAGCTCTGTCGTCATCCCTCGGAGAAGGTCTTGTGGGGACTTTACATTCCTTGTTCCTAGTGTTCTGGATATGACCTCCTGCTTCCCACTTCCCTTTGGTTTCTAAGAAGACCCGTCTCCTTTCTGAGCCATGGCCTTCTGTGCACCCAGCTAAGTGGCTCTTCCTTCCCTCTTCCTTCCCCAAGAGGCCCTCAGGAGACTCTCCAGCCCTCTGCTGATGCTCCCCAGGAATAGCTGGGATTCCGGCTCAGGGTATTGAGGCCTGTCTGAGAATGCTGCACTCTCCTCTGGTCGCCTTCAGAATCCGTTCCCCTCCTGACAAGTCTTTTCTTCTGCCCTGTGTACTCCACTGTGACCCTCTAATGTCTGTTCTGTGCTACTAGGTGGGCCCTAGGAGGCCTCCTTTGAATACCGAGTCTTACAACAATGAACTTCCTGAGCGGGCAATGTCCAAGTTCTTTGTTCTTCGGGGACCCGAGTCTGCTCCTATTCCCTCGCATAGGTCTGAGGTAGTTACCTGGTATGTGGGGGAGAGGTAGCCAGGCAGGCCATAGAGTCTGCAGTGCCGAGGGCCAGGGGAGGTACATTCTGCTACCACTGCTAGGATGATATTCAGAAGAGAGGGGACCTCATACTGTGACCTGACCCAGGCCTCCCCTGGAAGAGAGCTCAGCCCAGTTTGTGTGTGTGCGTGCATGTGTGTGTGTGCGAGAGTGTGCTCATGTGCACCTGGGTGTAAAATGACTGTTATCTGGTTGTTACTCAGGGTGGGCTGGGGACTCACCAGGAGAACCCCCGCAGCCTGCCCAAGACAGGTTTTCCCTTGTACCCACTTTCGAGGGGTCAGTGGGAGAGGGTCCAGGTGAGTTGAGGGGGTTGCAGTGGATAACCACTAAGGCCACACTGCTGCCAGGAGGAGTTGGGGGAGATGAGGTGGCCCCAGGGACCTGGCACCTGGCTTCGGTTTTCTGTCTTCTTTCCTCAGGACGCCCCTGAGGCCTGGGACCTGCACCTGGCTTTGAGGAGCATCTGTGGCTGGGTGATCTGGCTGCTGGTGTGACCATGGGCTTCCCTCCTCTCTCAGCAGGGCAGGCGCTCCTGCTCCAGAGACTGGGCAACTGGCTGTTTCTATGACGTATTTATTTTTACTTGTGTTTCATGTCACTTTTTTAAAAAAGCAAACAGAACAATTGTAAGTCAGTATAACTGCCTATCAGTTTTCTTTATTTCTCTTTTTGTAAAATAAAATTTAAACTCGAGAAGGCAGTGTTGTTTGATGAAGGGGCTCTCTGGACAGCTGTTTGGACAGTGGTGAGAGGAATGCAACGGGGTGTAGCAGGCACCGGGATAGCACTTGTGACCAGGCCAGGCGAGGGCAGCTGGCAGGATAGGGAAACTGCTAGGCTGACTAGAGTGCCTTGAGGCTAGCTGGCCAGCGGCCCTTATAGTCCTGCAGGGGCAGCCCAGCATTGGTGCCTTCTCAAGGTGAAGATGGCGGTCACAGTGTTTGAATAGCATCTCATAGTGTACATACATTCTCCGGCTGTCACCTGAGTTAGGGCATCTGGCCACTGGCTCACAGAGGTAACTAGGGCTTGAGAGTGGAAGGAGGTTGGGGAAGAGGGGAAGAGTCTGGCTCCCCAAGGTTAATTTAAGGGGAGAAGCCCTGGGGAAACATGCTCTCGTTTACCAAGGGAGAATGAAAGGGCGTTCCCTTGCAGGGAAGGAGACAAAGGCCAGGGCTGGACTCATGGAGAGTATGTGTTTGGGGAGGGCAGAACTGGGAGAAGAGCAAGAGCAGGGCAGGCGGCAGCTTCGCCAGGTCTGTTAACTGGGTGTGAAGAAAGGGACTTACAAGGTAGGCTGCTGCCTCCTGGTGGCCAGCCAAGACCTTGCAGGGACCCTGCCAAAGGTGGCGCCTATGCCGTGGGAAGCAGCCTGTGAGGACACCCACCCAGCAGTTTGGTGGCCTGCAGCCCTGGTCCCAGGCAAACGCTCTTTCCACAAGAGGGGCTGCTTCTAAGGCCCACCCTGAACTCTGACATGGGGCTCTGGAGTTCCCTAGCCAGACTAAGGGAAGTGAGCAGAGAGCAAGAGGGAAGGGTAGCTCCAGGCAGCAGTTTCCTGGGAAAAGAAAACTCAGCCTCTGCGAAGCGGAGACTTGACTGCTGGGCCTAGTGGCCCCTTCTTGCACCACAGGAAATGCTTCCAAGTGCATAGTCCACCCACCTAGAGCACCCCAAGGGTGTAATCACCTGTCACTGTTCTCAGGTAGAACTGCCACAACCCACTGCTCCAGCCCTTAGTGCCTGTGAGGGGGCCAGTCTGCCCAAAGGGCTGGGATAGGCTGAACCCTGAGAAGTGGAGCCAGCAGTAGGACAGGGGCTTCCATCTCCCTGCCTCTGGGAGAAAGAATGTGAGGCAGAGGGAAAGGAAGCCTGGGTTGTGATTGCCTCTGGGTGCCCACTGCCCTTTGCTCCTGCAGTAATGGGATCTGCAAGAAGATGTACCATCCCATGGCTGCCTCCTGGTGTTGCATCAGAGTGCCCTCCCACCCCAAACATCCGCCCTTGTCAGGACCACCAGCCTGTCTTGTAGCCAGGCTTATGAGTATAGCTGTCACCTTCCCTACCTCCACTACCTCCAGTATGGGCCTCTCAGGAGGGCAAGTTTTATCTTTGGGCCCCAGGAAACTTTGTAGTTTGGAGATCCTAAGGTATGAACTGGTGGGCCAGCAGGTAGCATGGTGCTTAAGGTGCTGGACTCCCACATAGCTGTGTGAAGAAAGGGACTTACAAGGTAGGCTGCTGCCTCCTGGTGGCCAGCCAAGACCTTGCAGGGACCCTGCCAAAGGTGGCGCCTATGCCGTGGGAAGCAGCCTGTGAGGACACCCACCCAGCAGTTTGGTGGCCTGCAGCCCTGGTCCCAGGCAAACGCTCTTTCCACAAGAGGGGCTGCTTCTAAGGCCCACCCTGAACTCTGACATGGGGCTCTGGAGTTCCCTAGCCAGACTAAGGGAAGTGAGCAGAGAGCAAGAGGGAAGGGTAGCTCCAGGCAGCAGTTTCCTGGGAAAAGAAAACTCAGCCTCTGCGAAGCGGAGACTTGACTGCTGGGCCTAGTGGCCCCTTCTTGCACCACAGGAAATGCTTCCAAGTGCATAGTCCACCCACCTAGAGCACCCCAAGGGTGTAATCACCTGTCACTGTTCTCAGGTAGAACTGCCACAACCCACTGCTCCAGCCCTTAGTGCCTGTGAGGGGGCCAGTCTGCCCAAAGGGCTGGGATAGGCTGAACCCTGAGAAGTGGAGCCAGCAGTAGGACAGGGGCTTCCATCTCCCTGCCTCTGGGAGAAAGAATGTGAGGCAGAGGGAAAGGAAGCCTGGGTTGTGATTGCCTCTGGGTGCCCACTGCCCTTTGCTCCTGCAGTAATGGGATCTGCAAGAAGATGTACCATCCCATGGCTGCCTCCTGGTGTTGCATCAGAGTGCCCTCCCACCCCAAACATCCGCCCTTGTCAGGACCACCAGCCTGTCTTGTAGCCAGGCTTATGAGTATAGCTGTCACCTTCCCTACCTCCACTACCTCCAGTATGGGCCTCTCAGGAGGGCAAGTTTTATCTTTGGGCCCCAGGAAACTTTGTAGTTTGGAGATCCTAAGGTATGAACTGGTGGGCCAGCAGGTAGCATGGTGCTTAAGGTGCTGGACTCCCACATAGCTGACCATGGTTTGAGTCCTGGACCTGGCTCCTTGAAAAATCATGCAGAGCACATGTGCATGCACATCCAAAATCCCAGGGGGAGAACGCAGGAGAAGAGACTGGCATGGCCATCCCTCCAGGGGATGATTTTTCACTCTCCTGCCAGCATACATGCTGGGGGGGGGGGACCTTAAAGAAATATGAGCTGGAGAAGGAACGAAGGAACTTACACTTGAAGTAAGTTGCACTAAACCTGCAGGGCAGGCCAGCCTCTTCCAGCCATGTGCAGAGGGTACTCTGCAGAGGGCACTGAGGGGAGGAGCCAGGAAGGGGGAATTGTCCTGGCATCAGACCTCCAGGAGGATGGGGGCCTCGGTTTTGTTCACTCAGTGCCCCCAGTCCCTAAAACTGTCCTGGCAAGGAGAGATACTCAATAGAAATGTTGAATAGATCAACCATCACCCCTGTGGTCATGGGGTGTGTGTATGTGTGTGTGCGCGCGCGTTGGTAAAGGCAGGAAGCGGATATTTGCAGTGTCCAGTTAATGGAGCCAACAGCTTCTTCCCTGAGCCCAGAGTGGGTTTCAGTTTCCCTAGCTATAAAACGGGAGCAAGTCCTGCCTTGCTTGGTTCCCAGGTTCGTCGCGAAGCCGCTCCTCCCCAGCCCTGGCCTCCTGGACCACACCTTGATCTTCTACTGCGGGTCGGATTCCCTCCGCGCGCCTGGGGCCAGGCAGTCCTCGCTGAGCTCCTGCCAACCCCGATGCCCTGGGGCGTCTGCAACACTGGTTTGTTGGGAGGAGAAAAGGTACGCGGTGGGCTCCTCCCCAGTCAGCTCCTGGAGATTGGCGCTCGCTCATTGCCATGGAGACAGGGCGGGCCTCCGCCCTTCGGGTCCCGCGCGCACGCGCCCACGGCCACGGCCACGTCCCGCCGCGAGAAGGGGCGGAGCGAGCGTGAGCGGCGGGGGCGCGCCGGGC